ATCTTCGTATAATCTCTTTACAGGTTGACAGCTTATATGATCTGGATGAGGGTTTGCAAGCCGAGAAGCTCAACGCAGAATGGGAGAGGGAGTGGAATAAGTCTCTTAAAGGTTGGTATACACTTCTCCTAACGTAGCCTCCAGGTGATATTTTCGTGTTCCAGATTATGAAAGACGAAAGCGCGCACACTCACCCGATAACAATTTTTATTCCACAAGTGAAAAATCTCCTCTAATTGTCGCTAACGGCAAAAGTTATGGTACTGATGGATTTATAAAAGCAGGAGATAAAGGTTGGCTAACTCACAATTTCTCAGCTATCTTGATGTTGTTATGTTGATAGAGGTGATACCTCATGCAGTCCTAATTGCATTCTGTAGATGATGATGTACCCCTTCCGTCCATTATTGGCGTCCTTTGGAGATTGTTCAAATGGGAGTTAATTGGAGGTAGTATGCTGAAACTTTTCTCGGACCTCATTCAGTTCGCTAACCCCGCTTTTCTAAAGTAAGTAGAAACTACGTTTTATGAAATATAGACGTAAACTTTCACTACTTATTCTCAGTTTACTCATCACATTCACTGAACAACCAAGCGCTCCCCTCTATGAAGGGCTCTTTTATGCAAGCGGACTCTTCATTTCCGGTATACTGAGATCTCTTTTTATGAACAATTATTTTACTGTTATGTATCGCATTGGAACAAAAATTCAGACTACGCTAACGACAGCCGTCTATAACAAGGTACATTATTTGTGACACATTGTCTGTCACCAGTCAGCTTTAACAGGGTTTTTTTCAGACTCTCAATCTTTCAAACTCCTCAAAAAGACAAAAGACTCATGGAGAAATCGTAAACTTAATGGCTATCGATGTGGACCGCTTTCGAATGATAACTCCGCAATTGCAACAGTACTGGAGCAGCCCATTACAAGTATAATGTTTTTAAATTGGTTCTTGATAGATGTTCTAACAATCCTTCAATTGTATACCCAATTATTCAAACCTTTATTCAGTTAAGTTTCCCTTTAATTCAAGAGGCATCGGTGGCGGCAGCAGAAATTTTTTCAGAGGGGCCCGGGGGTAAGATCGGCGAAAGGAAGTGGTTTATAGAAGAAGGGGATAATTGATAGGAGCGGGAGAGCTTTTTCATATTCATTTGGTTTCACCAGAGGATATTACACGTGAAATTAAAATATTATTTGGCTTCCATTTTCTAGAATTTTACAGCGGTTTACGGGAGAGGGAGGAGACAGGTCTGCG